TGGCAAACTCTGACCATATAAGGAGCTCAAATGAAGTACAAATCCAGAAATTACATTGAGGAAAAATTGCCTCCTTTGCAACATTAAGTCTGGCTTTTGCCATGTTACACTGAGCTATGGTCAAGATGAGTAAGCAATTAGCTCATTATTCAAGGCTGCAGTGCCACTACTATACATTAAAGTTGAGCATCGGCCTGCTAAACCCAGGGTTGTGAGCTCAATCCTTGAGGGGGCCATTTAGGGATCTGGGGCAAAAATCTGTCTGGGGATTAGTCCTGCTCTGAGCAGGGGATTGGACTAGATGACCTCCTGAGGTCCCTTCCAACCCTGATATTCTATGACTTCAGCAGTTTATAACTTTGTCAAAAAGTTTTAATCTAAATTGAAGCATGTTTGGTGCCAACACAGCTCCTGGGAAGATTTTGGCGACTTGAGGTTGTCTGAAGAAGGGATGTGGTACTCTCAAGAGTTCTGCAATCAGGGAAAAGCGTTTGGTCATACATTGTTTGAGTTACTGGGGAGTGGAATATGAGAGGGTGAGTTGGGGCCAGGGAGTACATATTACAGAATGTGGATGGGAGGGATTGGTACATAAATGGTTTGGGGGACAAATATTTAGAGAGGGAACTCATCCTCTGACCTTCATGAGACATCCCTTGATTTTACCATCATCTTACAGAGTCCCTTCCATACCTTAGCATAGAACTTGGGCCCAGCTGCCTCTATGATACACCACTTGCACATCTCACTGTTTGTTTGCTTTGACTGCTGCTTTCTCATTGAAATTTGCAGTGCAAGTGAAGGGCTTGATCTAGGAAGCCTCAAATGCTCTTGAGACAGAATAGAAGAAGAGAGGAAAGCAGGCAGATGGCATGGAGAGAAACAGGGAGTGGGAAACAGGATGGAAGAAAGGTCTGGGGTCACAAGATGGTGAAGAGGAAAAGTAAGAGGTGGGAAGGGAAAACAGATAAGGGAGCTGGATAAAACCCTGGCTTCAATAAAAGGGGCCTGGACACTCAGACTGTCTCTCAAAAATAACAAGGAGTCTGGTGGCACCTTAAAGACTAACAGATTTATTTGGGCATAAGATTTATTTGGGCACCTTAAAGACTAACAGATTTATTTGGGCATAAGCTTTCGTAGGTAAAAAACCCACTTCTTCAGATGCATCTCAAGTGAGGTTTTTTTACCCATGAAAGCTTCTGGCCAAATAAATCTGTTAGGCCTGGTCCACACTAACCCCCCACTTCGAACTAAGATACGCAACTTCAGCTACGTGAATAACATAGCTGAAGTCGAAGTACCTTAGTTCGAACTTACCACGGGTCCAGATGTGGCAGGCAGGCTCCCCCATCGACTCCGCATACTCCTCTCGTGGAGCAGGAGTACCGGTGTCGACGGCGAGCACTTCCGGGATCAATCCCAGAAGATGGATTGCTTACCGCTGGACCCGGAGGTAAGTATAGAC